CCATCCATCCATCCATCCATCCATCCATCCATCCATCCATCCATCCATCCATCCTCTTTCTCTCTCCTTCTCTCTCTCAGACACCTAATCTCTCCTGCTCCCTGTTCATCCTCAAATCATGAGGTACAGCAAGTTTGGACAAGAGTGAGAGGAAGAGAAGGTTTCCTTCAATCCTGTTGACCAATATACCAATTTTCTGCTAATCTGTGCCCTTTTCCTTCTTCCATTTTGGGGACGCCTCTCCTCTTTTCCAGCCATATGGAATTGGCTGCCCTAAGTGCTACCAGCACCCCCAAGACCTCAAAGAATGCCCAGATGGGTGTGCACAGCCGATGTGTATACAGACTTCAAGCACACCAACTCTGGGACCAAAATCTGATGGTTAGTTCCAAATTAGAGTAGACTCATTGAGAAGACTCCTTGTGGAGTTCATGGAAAGTCTACTAGCTGCATCTAAACGACTAGATGCTGGGGTACATCTTAGTCACACACTAGATTCTACCAAAAAAGAGAGATACACACAAGCACCTCACTTATTAGTCACAATTAGCAGCGGCATGTTACCCAGATGTTATGCAAACATGAAAAGGTTTCTGGCCACTGAAGCAACAGGATTTTTGTGTACATGGTGACTCACAAGGTTTGCACATAGAACAAGCACCCTGAAAAATTCAAGATTCCTAATCAAAAACCAAGAGGGTTAAAGTCCTTATTTACACTGACTTTGTTTTCAGGGTACAAGCAGATATTTGGTGGCTGTATCTGGGCACCAAGAGATATTCTCCGTGCTCATCCTAGCGTGTATTTTTGAACCAGGCTACATTTGTTGTTGTTTTTTGTTTTATTTGGGGAGACTTTCTTCCCAGGCGGTGTGAGCACCACCCCGGCCCCTTTCTTGACCTGCAGCTAAGTGCTCTGCAGGACAGAAAGGGAATCGGCTTCATAACCTTGATCTGCAGACAATCTCCTCCAGATAATCCTGCTGCTAACCCCTCTTTTCTCTTCTCTTGCTCTCTTTCTTAGCCATGACTCTCACCGTTTCGACAGGCTGAAAATAGCCTCATTCGCCCACAAAGGTAATGCAGAGGTATTTTTAGGCTGTGGTCATGCCCTGACCTAGCCCACTCTTTTTTTAGAGGGTACCAATTTAGATTGTGTGTGTGCGCGCACCCAGAGGTTTGATCACAGGGACATTTATCATCCTCCTTTATTCATAATTGTCCTGCCTCCTCTTACATTCTATCCCCTAAACTCTAAAGCAAAGGTGAGCAGATCAAGACCTAGCAGTAAATCTGTGTGGATCTGCAGTAGATCACCCAAGATCCCAGTTGTTTACATTGTGTAATTTGATTGGGCTGGGACAAAGGGTATAGAGAAAAGCAGTGTTGGGTGTTGGGAAACAGGATGGGTCAACATGTGCTAGAAGAATTTGGGACAGTCTGGAAATAAAGAGGAAAGCCTCTAGTGGAGGGGTTCCAACCTTGGTTCTCCAGATGTTCTTGGACTACAACTCCTAGAAATCTGGGCCACCACAGCTGGTGGTGAAGGCTTCTGGGAGTTTTAGTTCAAGACCATCTGGGAACCCAAGGTTAGGAACCACTACTTTAGAGCAAGTACCATGGAGAGGAGGAATATCTTTTCATCCTAGGACAGTGTTTTCCAACCTTGGGCCTCCAGATGTTCATGGACGACAACCCCCAGAAGCCTTCACCACCACCTCTGCTGGTCAGGATTTCTGGGAGTTGAAGTCCAAGAACATCTGGAGGCCCAAGGTTGGGGACCACTGCCCTAGGATGATGGAGCTGGCCCCATTAGTCAGCCAGAGAAGTAACAGCTGGAGGGAGCTTGCATCTTCTCCACGTCTAGAAACAATCTTATTTCCACTGCAAGACCGTCTGGGACTGAAGTGAAATGACAGCTGAGCTAAGTGATCTGATCAAAGTCTGCTGAGTTCTTGTGCTGTTTCACGTGGTCGTGGAGACCATTAAATGGGATGGAAGATATAATTTAAAAAATAAACATATTGCTGTTATCGTTTCAAGCTGGCTGAGAAGTGACTGGATCCGGTGGCAGGATACAAAACTTTGAAACGAACAGAACGGACATCTGGGGACAACAAGACATATGAGTAAAGGTTTGGATACTGGATCACTAAAAGGTTGCACACAAGGTGAGATGATTCCTCTCCCATTTTCCTATTCTAAACCAAAAAGGAAGGACCCTTGCCTTTAAGTCAATGGGAAGAGCCACAGGGACCCAGCCAGGTTTTGCCTACAGAAACGAGAGAGAGGAAGACTGTAAATCAATATCTTGTTTTTTTCACTGAAACTACCATTTCCATCTTATGGCTCACAATAAAGCCATGACATCTGGGCAGACACTTTGGGTTGACTTTTTTTTTTCCTTCCCCACATCTCATAAACTTTGTAACATCTGCGGTTGAAAAACAGCACTAAAAGATTGGATAGCTTGTCTTGTTTCTATTTGCTTCTCTCAGTGAAACTCCTTCTCAAATGTTGTTTCTACTCACAGATCACGGGGTTCCTTTGATTCTGTTCTTCATTGAATCACAACATTGTAGGGCTGGAGGGGATCCGAAGGGTCATTGAGTCCAACCCCCTTCAATGCAGGAAATCCACACCTAAAATGTCCGACACGTGGCCATCCAGCAACTACTTAAGCATCTCCGGTGTAGGAGAATCTACCCACTTCCAAGGCAGTCAAGTCCACTGATGTATAGCTCTCATAGTTGTAGGTTTGTTGCCCCCCTCTGATCTATATCATCCTAATGGTCTAAAACAGCAACATAACAAGAAAGGAGAGAAACACTATCAAGTCAGACAGAGATCTAACTCCTGTCCTTTGAAGATGCTGGACACAGAGAATGGTGAAATGTTAGGAGGAAAAACCTCCAGAACACAGCCAAACAGCCCGAAAAACCTACAACAACCATCGGATTGCGGCCATGAAAGCCTTCGAGAATACAACAGTTCTCATAGTTAGGAAATTCTTCCTAATGTTTAGTCCAAATCTCCTTTCTTTTAACTTGAAATCATTACTTCGATCCTCTTGAGCTGCAAAAAGAATTTCTCTTCATTTTCCATGTGGCAAATACTTGAAGAAAGGCAGAACCTCTCAACCTTTTCTTCTCCAGGCTAAACATGCCAAGTTCCCTCAGCCTTTCCTCATAGGGCTTGGTCTACAAACCTCTTACCAGTTTGATTGCCCTCCTCTGGACCTGTTCCAGCTTCACAGTCTGTGGCTGCTGCTACTTGTTACCATTTTGCTACAAACCTATCAAGTTGCGCCACATCACAACAGTAAGGGGACAACGTGCTTACCACCATGCGATTTAAGGAGACCCAACAGTCATCCGGGAAGTCCTGGAGCATCGGCACCAAGAACTGGAGGCAGCCATCCCAGTGACACAGGAGCAGCATCATGCCGATCAAGTTCACAATCCGCACCACCGCGCTCGCCAAGTCATAGGTCATGTGAAAGATCTAGAAAAGGCCAAGAGTGGGGAGAAGAGGATTACTCATCAAGACACGAAAGGAAACCATGGATATGCAAAGGCATGGATGCCCTGGGCATCTATGAATGTCCACCGGACGATATACAGCTGTGATGAGATGGGTTTTTGAGTTAGCCGGACGATATACAGCATGGAAGGCTTTCGTTCAGTTTTACACTGAGAACAATTTCCAAAACAATTGCGTTTTTCAAAAAGCAGCCTACCTTATAAAGCAAGATTAAAGAAATACCCCAACTCAAGTAACATCAGGCTGGAAAAATCCAACGTCAGCCCAATCAGGGAGGTCCATTGAAATGAATGAGCCTTGTCAGCCATGAGTAACAGGAACTCAGTTGACTCCAAGGGGTCCACTTTAGCTGGGATTGACTTGGGATTTATCCATTAAAATTCAGAACAGTCCCATTCCCAACACTCAGAGATCAAAGGTCATCATTTCAAAAAAACATTTTAAATAGTCAAGTCAAGAACCTTTATTGGCATTTGAAAAGAAACATATAACACAACAGGCAACAGTCCCTGCCCGGATGAGAAGTATATGCCCAGTTAGAAAGGAAACAAAGAGCACAAGTGGCATAAATACTGATGAAGCATAGGGAAACGAACATAATTCATTTGAAGGAACAGCTAGACATCAGCAGCGAGGCTTTGCCAAACCTGGGAAGTTGTTGGATTTTAAATGTACCAGGGGGGAAAACAAAACAAAACGAAGAACAAAGTGGCATCTTAAAGACTGTTCTATTTCAATATCAGCTTAAAAATCATTATTGTGTTTTTGCCTGATAACGCTGCACAGACTAACATAGCCACTTCTTTGAAAACAAGCAAAATGAAATGAATGGGTCAGAATTTTGAACAGAAGTGTCAGTGCAGTAGAATCTTTCTGCTGCTCTTCCTGATCTTTAGCCAATGGAGGGCAAAGAGGGAGAGGAGACGGGAATCCCAGGGCATGACCCTGTTTCAGTCTCACAAACATGGGGGAATCCCTTAGCACGGCAATGCTGTTTCCCTGCCGTGAGCCAGCAGGGTTGGAGGAACCCTCAGGAGGCAGGTTGCCTTGTGAGTGAAGATGGCGAGGGACATCTGCAGGAGGAGGCAGCTGCATCAGAAATGCTGCTGATTTATTTGCACAGACATCCCCGCCGGTTGCAAACCGTTGCCAGGCAATCCTTTGGAGTTCAAGGGATTGGTCCTTGCTAGAAGACGTTTCCACTGCTCCCACTCCCCAAAAGAGTGTCTCCAGGGAAAGGGAAGACAGGGGAGCCACAGAAAGCATCCAGAGTCCTAACTAGAAGAACAACAGGCACAGTTGGGGTGGGAAGGACCTGAAAACCCTGGCAACGTTGCGGTGGATTCTGGGAGTTGTAGTCCAAAGAAGGAACTTCCTGACTGGCAATCCTACACAGAGGCGTTCTTCCCGTGGAAAAGCAGAAACCGTTTCTAGTAATCCAGTTAGATGTGATGTGCCACAACTCTGGAGTTAATATCCCCCACTTCCCAATGAACTGTCCTTGTACTGGGGATTTTCACAGAGTCTGTGGCAGAAGAGAGGGTTTAAATTATCCTTCACTGAGATCCTAAGGACAATCACTCTCTTCTTCCTCCCCCCCCCACCAATAAAACTGGTAGTGTTGGGATCATGAGGAGCACAGTGGGGGAGGAAGAAGTGCAAACCTCCCTTCCTTATGAAACTCCCCTCCCCGCTGCCAACTATTAACAATTTAAAAAAGAACATCACCAAACTAGCATCACATCAAGGAAGACATGTGAAGCAATTCTGTGCTCAAAAGTGAGCTCCATTAAGTCTGATGGGCCGTACTCTTGCCTAGCCAGAGTACATGGGAGCATACTTTTTTGTGTCATGTTTGGTATAACCCAAAAGGGAAGAGAACAACAACAATACAATAGGACCCCCTGTATCCACAGGATCGGTATCCGCTGAATTACATTCACAATCTGAAAATACTAAAAACATTAAAAGAACAATTCTTAGAAAGATCTATTTCTAATGATGAAGTTACCAGAACTGGCCACTAGAGTGATCCATGCTATGTAGAGTGTTCTCTATTATAGTCGTGTTTACTCTAATTTGCATTTTTCAGCATCCATGGGGGGGGGACCTGGAACCTAGCCACCAAACATACAGGGGTCCTAGTGTACATTGGAGACAATCACAAAACTGATTTCCCTCCTCACGTGTGCTGCTGCATAACACTGCTGCAAATTCTGATTTTGCCTGTTACCCTGGCGATGCATCGCTAAATGCTGCATCCCTCAAAGCCGCATCTCTTCCTCCGAATGTTCTTCCACGAATTTCAGTGTTCAAAGGGTGACATTTGGTTTTCACAGACAAGAGGCAAAGAGTTCCTATAAATTGCTACAGCATCGCCATGAGCACAACTGATCTGGTCTGATTTTGGAAGCTAAGCAGGATCAGGCCTGGTTAGTCTTTGGATGGGATTCCATCAGAAACACGGAGGCTGGGCAGGGAATCCTGAAAGCCACTGCTGCCAGTCAGAACTGACAATATTAGTCTCAATCAGGGGTGCCCCACCCTGGGTCCCCAGACGTTCTCAGGACTACAACTCCCAGAAATCTTGGCCAGCACAGCTAGTGGTGAAGGCTTCTGGGAGTTTCAGTCCAAGAACCTCGGGAAACCCTAGGCGGGGAACTAGAGATGGGCACAAACCACCCGTTTCTTGGTTCGTGCTGATTTGTTTTTGGGTCGAACAGGTGTTCTTTGGCACTTCCCAGCCCCAGGCGTTCTGAGTGGGTGGCTGCCAGGGGAGGCAGGGCTTTGAAGCACCAAACATGTGTTTGACCAAAAAAAACTGGTGCAAACCAGCGAATTGGCCATCGATGCCCATCTCTATTGGGAACCACTGGATAGACTAATGGTCTGACTCAGTAAAAGGCATTTTCCAGCCATAGTGTGGGAAATCGAAGGCTTCACGTCAGATAATACCTCAGTGTTTATGGGCCTATGCCTTTACACAGATGCACACTGGAAAACGGCGTTCCGTGTCTAGTCGCACTGGCCATGTGACCACGGAAACTGTCTTTGGATGAACACTGGCTCTACAGCTTGGAGACGGGGATGAGCACCGCCCACTAGAGTCGGACACGACCGGACTAAATGTCAAGGGGAACCTTTACCTTACACTGGAAAATAAGGTGAACTCTTGTTTTCTGCAGATTTTTAAACTATAGATTAGCTTTCCTTACAGCCTCACCCATCGGTGACCTGCCACCAGTGTGGATGTCTGCCTTTGTACCCTCATGGAACTTTGGCTCCAAAAAAATAACCCTTTTCTACAAATGGAAAGACCTCCCCAATATTTTCCAAATACAGTACCCTCTTTCCAGTCGGTTTAATTACAAGCACCTCATGAAGGCAGCGGGGGACTCCTCCACCTCCTAATGCTGGAGCGAGATTCCCTTCAGCTGCTTGGTCCACGAGGCACTCCTCGTTATAATTTATCAAGATTAATTATATACCGGGCTAAATGGGCCATTTTAATACATACTGATTAGTTCGGAGAGTGACAACGGCCATTCTCGTTTATCTTGTTTCAAGAAAAGGAAGCAGAAATGAAGGTTCATTTAAGAGCCAGGGAAAAAAAACCCTCTCTTATCCACTTGCTATTGTACTATACAATATGATATAAATTGAAATAGGGAGTTTTCTGCTAGGCTGCAGACGGCTGAGAATTTCCTCTGTCGCCAGCAGTTGTAACTCTCTGGGTTTTCCATTAAAAACGAAAACGCAAAAAGAGGACAGCCAAGCGGCTGCTCAAAACCATTCCAGAATGAATACAGATGTATTGCGGGGGATGACAATAGCAATAATCTTTGGCTTACAGGCTTCTAGACTGGAAAGGGTGTGTCTCTGGATATCAAAGGAAGAGGCACACTCCTATACACATTGTGACTTGATGAGAGCCTGCCCTGCAGTTAAATATTACATGATCATAATAGTGCCACATTTCTGCTGATTATCTACTGTAATTTGTTAAACTTTTAATGCTTGAAAGCTCGGAAGGAGAGATTAAAAAAAAACGCCTTTTCTTTTACAGCTGCCTTGAACGATCAAAAGAATATGCATGCAAAAATGAAAGTCTTTAAAAGCACTAACCGTGAAAGCAAAAGGGAAAAGTTCCAATCCTCTAGTCACACAAACTAGCCAGCGACCGAACTCTCATTTTTAATTATAATTGGAACAGGAAGTACTTCCTAATTATAGCTAACAGGGCAGAAATAATCTAAGCCACCGCTGGCAGAAGGTACTGGCAGAAGGTATAAAGATCAACAGGTTTGGCATTTGGGGGGGGGGATACTTTAAGCTGAAGACAGTCCCCCAGGGAGGGACCTTATCAATTCAGAAAGACAGAACAGAAAGTCTTTGAGCAAAGTGCATGGAAGAGCTGCTTGTTGAAATCAGCCGGTTCAATCCCCAACACCTCCTGTTAAAAAAGATCTGGGACCAAGTGATACTAAATAAGTGAAACACTGAGTCTGGCATCATTTTCCACCACCATTTTCCATATTGGAATCCTTGTGGATTGCCCTCTTATAATTCCGTGATGCCCAGCATCACATATCACTTAGAATCCCTCAGGCAAGCTTCTGGGTTTGGGAGAGCATTTATTTTATTTAAAATAAACCCATTAAAAAGCCCCACTCAAGCAGCCAGCTACTGAGGGAAAGCCTGCCTGAAGAGAAGGGTCTGTGCCTGCTGGCAGAAGGACAGCCATGATGAGACCGGCCGGGCCTCCAGTGGGAGGGAGTTCCATAGCCCCGCTCTCACCATGATGATCAAACAACCAAAGATCCAAGGTTGTTTACATGACAATAATTAAAGGTAAAAACAGTAAGTATACAAATATAAAAAAGGAACAAACAAATACCACTCTGAGAAATGGTACACAAAAGCAGTACTAAAAACACAGTCACAGCAGTCATGCATAACAA